TTCTCCTTCTCCCACTCCCCCTGCTTGTGTTCCTGCTCTCACTATCTCTCTCTGTCAAAAAAAAAAAAAATCTTTAAAGAATAACACTTTACGCTTTTCTGATTTAAAGGGTAATATGTTCAGCACAGAACACTTTGAAAACACAGGAAAGTTTAAGGAAGAAAGTTGAAGATCGTCTTTAATCGCAGAACCCAGAAAGAGCAACTTCTGTTTTTGGTGTTTCCTTCCAGATTTCTTTTTCTGTGCACATATAAATCTTTTTTAATATACTTAGAACCCTGCGTATAATATTGCATCTTATTTTTTCACTTAATATTTATATTGTGAGCATTTTCACACACCATTAAATACTTTTCAAACTTATGACTCAGGTCATGTGGTAATTTTTGTCTTCTGAATGTATTATACTTTTTAAAATTAATGTTCCATTATTGGACATTTAAGCTGTTTCTACATTTTCACCATTATTAATAACACTGACTTGGGTGTGTTTCTCTCTTAGAAAAGATACTTAGGTAGAACCCTTTTTGGACATAAAGGAGTCACAGACTCCTTGAGGAAATTTCCTAACAGTTAGGAAAGGAAGATCACTCAGCTGCCTGCAGGGGGCAGTGAAGTTTATGACCTTATTGGCCCTCTCTTGGCAGCCCTGGCATTCCTGGATATTTGGAGAAATTGGTTTTTGTTTTGTTTTTTAGAAAGAAAGCAGACATGGTAGTTTATGGTCTTCGTAGATAGTTCAATATAGTTCATCTTTTCTGGACAGAATTCAGGCCAATGTTTTGAGCTTCTGTATCGTATAAAATGTAATTATTCAATGTTTTTATCTTTGGTTAAGAAGATACAAAAATAACACATGTTTATTATAAAATAGTCAAATGCAGAAGTATACATTATCACTCCTGATAAACTTAACAGCTAATATCAATTCTGCAAAAGTTTTGGAAAGATGCAGCAAATTGTCTTAAGCCAAATTGCCGTATGTCTTATATAATATTCCACTCACAACCAAAGTGTATTTGTTTGACATATTTATTTAGATCCTCTGTGTGAAGCAATGGTTGGTATCCAACCCGGATGCTGCACCATGTATCACTGTGGAAGCTTTTTAAGAAATACTGACTTCTGGGCCCCACTTTTCAGAAATTCTGGTGAATTTGTCTGGATGGGGCCTGGGCCTTGCTACGTTCTCTTTTACAAAGTTTCCAGGTGATTTGCAGCTGGGTGTGAGGACCACAGATAGTGCTAAGCTGTAGCCTAACAGAAGAATTTTATGAAAGTTATCCTTTGACTTACAGTTACATTGTCATATTTTATAATTGCTGCTATTTTAGCATTCCCTGTTTGTAGTGGAGGTACTTTAGAACTTTAAATGTACTAGGTTGTTAAAAAAGGTGTCATGTTGGAAATAATGAAAGCAAAATGATTATTTTTCAGGAAGACAGTGACATAACAGGATCTGAATAAAGAGGAAACATGACCTGTAATTCAAGCACAGAATCAGGAGCTTTACTGCTCTGATTCAAATCCCAAATCCACCTACTGCTTTTTGAAATATGTTTGAATATAAACAAATAATGTGGGCAGTAAGCTTTGGTTTATTTTCAGTTCTTATTCTGCTGTTCTTGAAATAGAAACTTTTTTTTTTTAATTGCCATCACATTTGTTTACCTTGTACTCTGCTATTACGTAGGGCATACCTGTTTTTAAAATGAATAACCAATTTTATTTATACTGAAATTGTCATTTATCATTGGTCATGACCACATAATGCCAAAAACCGTAAACCTAAGGATGGCTTGAATATTAACAAAACTCAAAAGACACTAATTTCTTTTAATTAATCTACTAATTCTTAATTAATTTAATTAATCTATTTTTAAAAATAAGTCTATTAGACTCTACAAGTCAAAATGCTGGAATAAAGAGTTTTTCTTTTGTCAGTCATCTTAAAGAATTGAGTAGGACCCCAAAGAAACCACATTGTTTAAAAAATATATATATCTATATTACATCTTTTAGAATGTAAATATCAAAATGAGTGCTGTCTATTAAAATAGTTCCTTTGGGAGATTATCTAAAATTACTTAATGATATTGCTGACATCACTATTGTTTGGAATGCTATTGATTTTTTTCTTTTTAAGAGCTTTTCTTAGCCTGGGCAGTTTAGCAAATATTAACTGTTGTGTGGTTAATGTAACTATACTGGGTTTTGATTAAAATTTGGTTTAAAAACTTGCTGTTGCTGTTTTAAGTGATTGTTGGGGCCAAAGAATGCCAGGTGGAGAGCGCAGATGAGGTGATGAGTCTCCTGGAGATGGGGAATGCAGCCCGGCATACAGGTACCACCCAAATGAACGAGCACTCCAGTAGATCACATGCAATTTTTACAATCAGTATTTGTCAAGTGGAGAAAAACATGGAGGCCGGTGAAGACGGATCGTGGTACTCCCGTCGGCAGATTGTCTCAAAGTTCCACTTTGTGGACTTGGCTGGCTCCGAAAGAGTAACCAAAACAGGAAATACTGGTGAACGGTTCAAAGAATCCATTCAGATCAACAGTGGGCTGCTGGCTTTAGGCAACGTCATCAGCGCTCTTGGGGACCCCCGCCGGAAGAGTTCACATATTCCATATAGGGATGCGAAAATCACCCGGCTCCTGAAAGATTCCCTGGGAGGCAGTGCCAAGACTGTCATGATCACTTGTGTCAGCCCATCCTCCTCAGACTTTGATGAGTCCTTAAATTCCCTCAAATATGCCAACAGAGCCCGCAACATTAGAAACAAGCCCACCTTAAACTTCAGCCCCGAGTCAGACCGCATGGACGAAATGGAATTTGAAATCAAGTTGCTTCGAGAAGCTTTGCAAAGCCAACAGGCTAGCATCAGCCAAACCAGCCAGATCCATCAAGAGGAGACTCCTGATAAAAACAGGATCCATTCTCTTGAGGTGCAAGTAGCTCAGCTACAAGGAGAATGTCTGAGTTACCAGAATTGTGTAGAGGAAGCCTTTACCTTCCTGGTGGACTTAAAGGATGCTGTCAGACTGAACCAGAAGCAGCAACACAAACTGCAGGAGTGGTTGAACATGACTCAGGAGGTGAGGAAGGCGGTTTTCACCTCCTTCCGAGGGAGCCACAGCATTGGCAACCTGGAAGAAGGGCCTCAGCATGTTACGGTTCTCCAGCTGAAGCGAGAGCTGAAGAAATGCCAGGTACGTGGACGCCTTTTGTTAGTGACTTGTTGAAGGACTCCTTTTATTTGGGCAAGGGTCATTTTGGAATTTCAGAAGTTTTTCAGAAGGATTATGTGTAAAATCTCATTTGCCTTTGCTCAGTTTCTTCTTCCCCTTTCCTACTGCTTTGTCCTCTTAAGTCACACCCTTCTCAGCTCCTTCTCCTTTCTCTTTTAATATCTTAACTGGTTATATTTATGAAGCAGAATCTTGCAGACCTGCTCATTAATTTAGAGGATGAAGAGAAACCCAATTTCAGAAACAAAATGAAGTATGTTAGTGAGTCTTTATTCCTCTTTGGGTCAGTGGTTCTTGAAGGGAAAAAAATACTTCATCCCTTGAGTGTGGAATGTTGATTTTTTGAACAAACAAATCATCTTATTTGACAGTACTTAAGGGACATAAGTACATTTATTCATATTATATATATGTATGTTGAGTTTAGAATTATGTTTCTCACTTTCCATTCAAACACAGTATGTGAAGATCTTATGTCACTGGGAAATCATGGAAAACAAGATATATCCAGTTCTCCTTACATGGTAGAGTCTGGTGGGCAAATGGATATTCTGCCAGTTTTTGAAAATAGGAAAACGTATAGTTAAAAACATAGCTTTCTAGTTAGAAATCTTTCCTCAATACCTTTCTATATGTATTAGAAAGAAACCTCTATTACAGCAGTTTTTGAACTTTTTGTTCACAAGTTTACATTTTTAAAATTGAGGTCCCCTAAAGAGCTTTTGCTTATGGGGATTGTATCTATTGATATTTACCACATTAAAATTAAAACACAAAAATTTAAATGATTAACTCGCTCAAAGCTAACAATAATAACCTGATTACATGTTAAATAAAGTACTTTTTTTTTCCATGAAAGATAACTATTTTCCAAAACAAAAGAAGTTTAATAAGAGTGGAACTATTTCACACTTCACATGTGTCTGGCTTAATAGAAGACAGGTGGATTTTCACATCTGCTTCAGCATTCAGTTTGTTGAATATGTTGTTGTAGTTGAAGTACGTGAAGATAATCCAGCTTTATATAGATTTGTAGTTGGAAGGGAGGAATCTTTTCATAGCTTTTTCAGATAATTATGGATGTTCGTCTTTGCTATTACACCAAAACTCAACCAGTAGAGATTTCCTCAAGGTTACTTGCCATGTAGAATTTGAAACTGTCTTTGTTATATTAATATTTATACCTTAAAATTCATTGATCTATATGTTGTACTTTGAATGGATCTTTCATCACATGATTCTGAATTGTCACTTATTGGTCATTTGGAAAATATTTGTTTCCTAAATTATGCAGATCTTCTAAATGTTGACACATATCATTAGACAGTGTCAAATAATTACATTCACTAATCTTACCCACTGATCTTACCAGCAAGGTCTTTAAGTATTGGAAGCTGTCAAACTCATAGCAGAAATGTTTTCCAAAATTCTAATTTTTGCATGAAACTTGAATTTTATCATTTGCAACAAATATTGTTGTTTTCCTTGAAATGATGGTTTTCATTTTTGAGAAAATGTTTGTCACAGTCCCGGGTGTGAGTAACCATAGTTGATCTGTCATATTTTAGAATAAAAATAGTTCCCCATGAAAAATGTGGCTAGTTCAGCTTGCAGCTCAGTTGCACAAAATTTTTTCCCTATAGATAACCATCACCCTTCATTACACAGCAGGGCTACCATTGGAATACCTCCCATTTTGTCACATGGAATACTAAAAGTATTCATATGTTGAGATAAATAAATAAAATAATTTTTATTGCTTCATCAAGATATTCTTTTTTCTTTTTTCTTTTTAAAAGATTTTATTTATTTATTTGACAGAGAGAGACACAGCAAGAGAGGGAACAAGTAGGGGGAGTGGGAGAGGGAGAAGCAGGCTTCCCGCCGAGCAGGGAGCCCGATGTGGGACTTGATACAGAGACTCAAGGAACATGACCAGAGCCGAAGCTAGTCACTTAACCATCTGAGACCCCCAGGCGCCCAAGAAGTAGCTTTTTACGAATTTATTTACTTATTTGAGAGCACGAGAGCACAAGCAGGGGGAGAGGCAGAGGGAGAGAGAGAAGCAAGCTCCCCACTGAGCAGGGAGCCCGATGCGGGGCTCGATCCCAGGACCCTGGGATCATGAACCTGAGCTGAAGGCAGCTGCTTAACCGACTGAGCCACCCAGGTGCCCCCATCAAGATATTCTTAAGTGAAACTGGCATTTGTTTGTATTGTGAGTGCGTGGCAGTGAGGAATACAGTGACTCCTAGGACAGTCTGGTGACACTTCCTTTTTTCACGCTAGGAGCCAGCAGTTTTACCCACCCTTATGTACCATCAGTGCAAATGTCAACATGGTAAACAGGGCAAATATTGTCTTAGTATTATTAGGAAAATAGTTTTGATCTCCTGGATACCCTGAAAGGACCTAAGGGATACGCCAAAAGGGTCTTTACTGAAATGCTATGATCACTGCTGTTCTATCTCAGAGCTTCTGATATTTAAATATAAGCATTTAAAGTAATACTTCTAAAATCATGGATTTTTTTAAAAGCAGGAAGTCTGCCCTACCTTCTTCGTAGATAGAGCCAGGCCTGGCCCTTCCTCCTTGGTATAAGAAACTGGCAGAACGGGGAGTATGGTTGATGGGAAGCTTGAACTTTGGGATGCTGTAGGAGTTGGCAGTAGAAAGTGCTTTTCCTTCCTGCTCCTAAGGTGGCTGAAAGTGGAAACTCATAAAACCCCCTGGTTGAGGATGGGGGGTGGATAGTAACTTTTTCTCTCCATCTGTTGGAAACTCTGAATTAAACTTGCTCTAGATGATGGATTCTAGATTAAGACTTCCCAAAGATATTAACAGTCTTGGTGAAAAAGGGTATCATTCATGAGCAGATGGTTTTCGAGGATGCTGGCTAGACTGCAGAAATCCCAAGACTTATCAGGACTTTGAAAGTGCTAGTGTATGTTATTAATCTCAAAGTGAGAGATAGAATGTTCAGTATTTCCAAATTAAAAAAAAAATGGATTCCTTCTTTTTGGTCTGCAGTCTTGCAGGACTAGTAATCTTGGATACCACTAAGTAGCAAATCGAGAAATACAGCTGTCATTCCTCACCCCGTATGTCTCTTTAAAAAGTTGTTTTTTAAACTTTCTTTTCTGTTCTTTTCTGTGAGAGACAGAATAACATAATAGTTAAGAACGTGTATACCAAACCCCCAAGATTTGAATCCCGACTCCTCTGCTTACTCGCTCTGTGACCTTGGGCGAATATTTCACCTCTCTGTGTTTCGGTTTCCCCATCTGTAAAATAGAAACAATACTAACAAGCACCTTGTAGGGTTGCTGTGAAGATTATTAAAGCACTAGTTCCCATAAAGCGCTGAGAGGGATGCCTGGCCAGGAGTAAGGCTCCATAAATGTCAGGTCATTATTATCTCCTCATTTATTTTTCACCTGCCTGGGCCGACATTACATAGCAGCAGCAGCTAAGTGATTGGACTTAGTAGTGGTACGTAGGGCCACATGCCAGGAATTACTGTGAAGGCCACTTGATAAACTCTGTGCAGGGAGATAGCAACTCTGTGCAGGGAGAGGCGTGGATATTCTTTTCGTTCAGCCCTGCTTCCTCGAGCCTATTACACAAGCAGGTAAGTACTTTAAAAAAAAAAACTCCTAATCAAGATGAGATGTGGGCCATCTTGCAGGTAGAATTACTGCCAGACTGTTGCTAGGGAAGTAAGGGTCACTTCGAAGTTACCATGTTCTTCTTTTTAGACACCGTCGGGTAGTGTTGGAATCCTTGGTTTTTGCTATTAGTCAATTATTGGAACACTCCATCCCCTAATAAATACCTCTTAAAGGACTCCATTGCCTTTCTATTCCAAATTTTGAGTACAAGAACAGTATGTGAACATGAGTTTACTCAACAGTTAAACACTTTTAAATAAATAATAAATAACTGTAGTTTATAAAGCATATGTAAAAATAATTGAGTATGCAGTACTGGGAGACAAACTACATTTAAAAAAAAAAATTTATTTTAGAGACGGGGGGGGCAGCAAGGGAGGGAGAAAGAGAATCTCCAGCAGAGTCCCCGCTGAGTGCAGAGCCTGACTCGGGGCTCAGTCTCACAACCCTGAAATCATGACCTGAGCCGAAACCAAGAGCCAGATGTTCAACCGACTGAGCCACCCAGGCGCCCAAGACAATTACACTTTAAGCTCAAATGCACAATTAATTTTACCATAAGAGGATATTAGCCAATGAGAATTAGTTATATCTTATTTTATGAAAGAAGTCACATAGGTCCTATAAACATATAGAGTCATAAGGACCATCAGGGTCATCTGTTCTTTCCTTATTTGATCATTTGAGGATCCCAAGTGGAGAAAAGAAGGGCCTTGCCCTAAGTGCTACTATGAGGCTGTGACAAAATCAAGGCAGGCCTCAATCTGTGGGTTCTCAGTGCTGGGGCCCATCTACCCCCATGCCTTTGCCTGAGAAGTCACATACATACTCTTTCTGTGAATTAAATCTTATGTAAAGTGAACACTGGTTTTTGCAAATCAGCTACTTGTTCTTTTCCTGTAGATTAGTAGAAAGAGCATGAGCTTTAGATCCAGATAGGCCCTGGGGGTAGAAGATCAGGAGTTGGGTTTATCCACTGTGTCATCTTGGGGAGAGGTTTTAATCTCTTAGTTTCTTCATGAAAAAGGAACCCTGTCTATTCAGCGAGATATTTTTAAAATGTCAAGTCACTATCTAGCATAGAATAGACTCTTGACAAATGTTAAATTTCTTTCTGTTTATTTAATTTAAAAATTGTTTTAAAGTATTATTTGTATATCCCAAGTTTATTTGAAAACAGGCATAATTCACTAGAAATTAAGAAAACTCTTTGTTTAACCATATTTTTAGACATCTTCAAAATATCTCTTCATAGTGAAAGTGCATAAAATTAGCAAATATTTTTATTTGGAAATCCAAATGCATTCTTAACTCTGTAGGTCAGTTTGGAAAATGTGACCTCTGATTTTTAAAAACCCACATTAAAAATCTCATGGCAGTTCTAGCAAACTTGTAAAAAATCTTACTGAGTGTACTCTAGAAACTGAGTAACTTTTTTGTTTTAAAATAAAACCAGGAAAAATTTTCTATGTAGTAATTAATTCTTAGGTTGTAGCCATGATAGGTCCTCGACATTAGAGAACAGAAAAAAGTTGAAAGTGAATGGGATAAGAAAAATTTCAAGAGACATCATCAAACCATCAATAAATCCCAGTTTTCGTGGTATTTTCTGGGCTCTCTTGAGTATTTTCCATGATGAATCTCTTGTGCTTTCTTTCCCTCCTCCCAGTGTGCGCTGGCTGCTGATGAAGTTGTATTTAATCAGAGAGAACTGGAGGTGAGGGAGCTAAAGAATCAAGTGCAAATGATGGTCCAGGAAAACAAAGGCCACGTGGTATCTTTGAAAGAAGCACAGAAAGTGAATAGATTGCAGGTAGAGTTTCTTAACGTATCTAGTGCTGTAGATTTAGTTGAAATAGTACTTCACTAAACAGTAGCATTTTATTTTATTTATTTATTTATTTATTTATTTATTTATTTATTTATTTATTTTTAAAGATTTTACTTATTTGACAGAGAGACACAGCCAGAGAGGGAACACAAGCAGGGGGAGTGGGAGAGGGAGAAGCAGGCTTCCTGCGGAGCAGGGAGCCCGATGCAGGGCTCCATCCCAGGACCCTGGGATCGTGACCTGAGCCAAAGGCAGACGCTTAACCATCTGAGCCACCCAGGCGCCCCTCTAGAATAATTTCAAAACATAAAACATATACAAAACAGAAGGTACTGTGCAGTGATGGATCGCAAAGAGAACAGCTGGGTAACCACCACCAGGTCAAGAAATAGTAAACTTTTGAGGCATCTAGGTGGCTTGGTCTATTGAGTGTCTGGCTTCTGATTTTGGCTGGGATTGTGATCTTGGGCTTGTGGGATCTAGTCCCGTGTAGGGCTCCGTGCTCGGCTCCGTGCTCAGTGGGGAGTTTGCTGAGATTCTCTCTCTCCCTCTCTGTAAAATAAATACTATATGATTTCATTCATAGGTGGAATTTAGGAAACAAAACAAATGAGCGTAGGGGGAAAAAAGAATGAGAGATACAAACCAAGAAACAGACTTTTAACTATAGAAAACAAACTGATGGTTACCAGAGAGGAGGGGCCTGGGAGGATGGGTTAGACAGGTGGTGGGGACTAACTTGCTGGGATGAGCACCGGGTGTTGTATGAAAGTGTTGAATCGGGGCGCCTGGGTGGCTCAGTCAGTTGAGCGGCTGCCTTTGGCTCAGGTCATGATCCCAGGGTCCTGGGATCGAGCCCCGCGTCGAGCTCCCTGCTCAGTGGAGAGTCTCTTCTCCCTCTCTCTCTGCCTACTTGTGCTCTCTCTCTCTCTGTCAAATAAATAAATAAAATCTTTAAAAAAAAAAAAGTGTTGAATCACTATATTGTATACCTGAAACTAATATTACACTGTATGTTAACTAACTGGAATTTAAATAAAAACTTAAAAATAATTAAAAAAAAAAAGAAATAGTAAACTGTCGGCCCCTCAAAAGTCCTTTGTTCGTCCGGCTCAGAGAGAATCACTTTCCTTACTTCATAGTAATGCTTTCCCTACTTTGCTTTGTGGTTTTACTATGTATCCCTGAACACTACAGTTTACATTTTGGATTTTTGTAAATGTAATCATTCAGTATATATATTCTTTAGTATCTAGTTGCTTTTATTGAATGTTTTTTTGTTCTAATTCATCCACAACGTAACTGTAGTTTGTTACAGTTTATAGCTATATAGGATTTCATTGTATGAATATATTGCAATTAATTTTTCTATTCTACTGTTGATGGACTTTTTTGGTGATGGACATTTTCTTTTTTTTTTTTTTTTAAAGATTTTATTTACTTGAGAGTGAGAGAGAGAGAGCACACGCATGAGTGGGGGGAGAGGCCAAGGAGAGGGAGAGAGAATCTTAGGCCGACTCTGCACTGAGTGCAGAGCCTAAGGTGCGGCTGGATCTCACGACCCTGAGATCATGACCTGAGCTGTAATCAAGAGTTGGACGCTTAACCAACGAAACTACCCAGGCTCCCCTTCACATCTATATTTTTACTTATTCTTGGGGTCTTTTTGTTATACCAGTAATTTGGAGGGATGTTACAATCTCCTGCTATGATTTTGGATTTGTCTTCCTTATTCTCCATGAAGTAGTGGCAATTTTTGCATTATACATATTGAAGCTGTGTTATTAAGTACATAGAAATGCATGATTGTTACAGCATCCTGGTGAATTCACCTTTTTAATATTTCTTCTAATGGTTTTTGCCTTAAAGTCTATTTGGGTATTCACATAGCCCTACCAGCTTTCTTTTGGTTAATATTACATGGTGTCTCTTTCTCCAATTTTTGTGTGTCTATTTTAGTTGTGTTTCTTGGTAAGCAGCAAGTTAGATAATTTTATAATCCTCTCTGATGAATTATAATCTTTTAATTGGATTACTTAGTTTATTTAGGAATGTAATATAATTACTCTTATATTTTGGTTATAATCCCACCGTTGTCCTTTTACTTATCCTGCTCTATGTTCTTTTTCTCTCTTTTCTTATCTTCTTTAGGATTAATTGTGTATTTTTAATTTTTCAATTTTTACTTCATTAGCTTAGGTATTATACTTTTACTCTTTATGGTTTTGGTGATTATCCTGGAGAGTATACCATACACTCTTGATTTAATAAAGTCTAATATTATTGGTATTTTTACCCTTTCCCAGACAGTATAAAGACTCCAATATATGCCATTGGCATATATTTTAATTATCTGGATACGTGAATTTTTAATAAGGTTGCCTTTTTATTTTTTTGTTTGTTTGTTTTTTTGTTTTT